AACTTCTAACATCTAACTGGTCATCATTCAAAATTTATCGTCACAATCGATCAAGGTATAAGAAAAGGAAACTTGTTGAAATACTTTATGCTGAGAATTCTATGTTGTACCAAAAATATAATGTTGAATAAAGCTTCTAATAATAATAATAATAATGATGAAGCGCGACCCTTGAAAGTGGTAACAATTTTTCACGTGGTTTAGGAATTATCCGACTTGCTCTTTTGTAGGGTGTATTATACTTTGATTATCATCCTGTACTGTACATCGTGTACATCTTACCCCGAAAAACAATGAAAAAACTTATTTTTATTCGACGGACAATTACCAGCTCGTATTGTACCTATTGCGGACTTAAGTCGTAAATAGATCAGCAATTCATTATATACTCACAGTCTCTAATCCTAGTATTAACCAGGTTAATACTTAATAACAACTAATACTCAGATATTATATTTAATTGAACGAGCACTGTGCTCACTTATTTTCATATCATGTCCAATAACTCCATTAAAAGAGAAATTTCACCAACTTCTAAGCCAAATAAAAGGTCCAAATCTGTAACCCCTACAACTGACGACTCAGTGCTTGACAATGTCGAACCTTTAACTACTGAAAAATATGTGTGTTGTACACAAATGTCTCTATCGTCATCAGAATCTCCATGTCGCAGCCCCTCTATCTCTACGTGCAGTATGCCAACGGTAAGACTGGTTGACATGCAAGACACTATACCTACGTGCATAGAGAAGCCAGCACAGTCTACTAGACAGTATGTGCTACCAAGGCCTAAATCTAAAATTTCAAAAACTAAAGAGTCCAATGGTCCACCTCATACACACCAAAATACTGATAGATATAGTAATGACATCCGACAGCTACAAAACTCTATCCGAAATTGACGGCAAACTTGAGCAATTAGGACCCCTCACTCATATATGGGGCCTTGACACAGACAGAAATCTTGAGCAACTCACTAAAGCTGAGTGTATTTTGGAGTTTGTGGCTGAAGAAGTGACGAAGAGAGTGATGTCCTTCTACAATGCAGTTGTGTATAACCTCCCCGACCGCACACACCCATCTAAGTTAAGGGATATTTGCCTTAGAGCATGTGGTATGCCGAACGTTAACTGCAAAGTCATCCGCCTTAGAAAAAAGTCAGACAAATCGACTTGCCCCCTTTTGTTTGTTTGGCTGTTGTAACGATGCTAAGCAGTTTATTGATGTGAGCAAAAATATTAGCTTGTAGCGGTAAATAAATCCCCAAAATAAATAGCACTAAGTTTTAAACATTGGATGCTGACCATATGTTTTAGTGGACTCATCTAGCTGAAGGCGCTCGGTCAGGCATCCGCACCAGATCACGTGTGGTAACGCCGTGCTCAACATCAACCGCAATCGCTAGCCAGATTAGATCAGAGAATTCCGATATATTGGTCATCGCCAAATATACTCTTCCGATCTCCTCGACTCTGTCTTTTGATTTCTCTGGGTGGGAACGAAATACATGAGAAGATGTTACTGGTAGAAGCGTTGTCAAACACTGAATACCTGTGACATCCTCGAGCTCACTAATTCCATACAAGAATATAAAAGACACTCCAGACCTTACGCCCTGTCAACGTCGTGTAAGAAGACGTGAAGCGATAGAATTGAATGGGAGTGTTACAGTTAATAATCAGCCAGAGACAGTTTGCAACATAGTAAATAGTTTATAAACACACGAACAATAAGCATGACACCACTCCACATATGGCTGGTCACTCTGTTGATCTAGATGAGTCTACAGATCAGAAACCTTTGAATAAGATACGAACCCCAACTGACATCAAAAACCATAACGACATGACTAATCCCAGCTGTTCGTTCAGTAATGTACTAAAATGTGAGACGTGTAACAACACACATCCAACTAAACCTATAAACTTGAAAATTTGTCCTCCTAAAGATATTCCACAAGTAGACTTGAATGAACCTAAGTTCATCTCACAGAGACAACGAAAGACTCCAGCTCTGAAAATAAAGGGTAGGAAGACAAAACTCATGGTACCGAATAGGGAAACACGTAAGATTGAACCCAACTGCTCTGTAGGTATCCCAAGAACAGTGAACAGGTTCTCCCCGCTGCTATCGTATAACTTGCCTTCAATATCTCTAAGTTGCAAAATGGGTGGTGGGCTTCAGCGTAGCAAGCCTTCTTAAACGCAGACTAACGAAAACTACCAGAGAACTGGCCACTCAAGTCACCCCCTGAAGCCTAAAACCATAAATAAGAATGGTAATAATAGGTTTCTCACTCCACACCCTACCTACATTCCCCAGGATCGCAACTGTAATTACTCTCAGGAAGAAAACTTCTCACGCCATTTAGTACCGACCCATCACATAACAACGGCTCCCATGTATAACAACAGTCGCACCTCCTCCCAGTTACGCGTAGCAGACCCCTCTCACGCTAACCTAAATAGCCATAACAGGGGCTGCGAGTCTAACCATCAAGACGATTTTGTAAATAACCATACACTTCACAGTAGGCCTGTACAAGATTTTTTTTGGAATAAGACCCCTAGTGACACCTCTGTTGAAGCATATAGCCCAGGTTATTTCAAACCACATGCAAACCATAAATTTGTTTCCTCCGTACAGTTTCCGTCAGAGAGTACTCCCACCCTTTCCTCCTGGGTAAACTCCCCAATCAACTTCACTAGCTTATTTGATACATCTCCCACTAAGTCTAGCTATCAAAATACCGAGCCAATGAAGAACATTCAATCCCTCACTTCCAACTCATCTCACACCCGCGAGGGTTACGACTTTATCCGAGATACCCTCACCCATTTTAGCTTAGTAGGCCACTTGCTTAATGTATGTCTTATCAACGCTCGATCGATCTGCAACAAAAAGACGGATTTAGCCCTGTTTGTATCCATATATCAACCATCACTTATAACGATATCTGAAGCATGAACAAACAGTAATATTTCCGATCAAAGTATATCTCTTGATAACCATTTCCTATATAGAAGTGGTAGATTGAATGGACGAGGCGGAGGATGCCTTATTTACGCTCACTCTAGCCTAAACTCACTACTACGTGATATGCCTGGACTAAACAAACTGAAGGATTCGGTGTGGATCAGTACATTGAAACACTCCTACACTGATGGACCAGATGGTATTCCATCTAGCATGCTAAAACGTGGAGGTGATTATGTGTGTTTTGCTTCTCAAACTATTCGCGATATCACTCTCTTCAGCGTGTTACCCTACTGTCTGGAAAACTACACATATCATTCCCAAACTTAAAACAGGACCTGAAGCAAACGTTGAAAATTACCGGCCTATAAACATAACTTCAGTGGTATCCAGAGTGATGGAAAAAGTAGTTAAGGCGGCTATTGTCCAACATCTACTAACTAATAATCTTATCTCAACCTCCCAGCATGGATTTCTTAGGTCCAGACCATGCGATACATGCCTAGTAGACCACCTGAATGATATAACTCTGAAACGAGACAGCGGACTCCTTGTATCAGTCCTATTCCTAGACTTTAAGAAAGCCTTTGATAAGGTCCCACACAAAAGGCTACTCTTCAAACTAAAGTCCTTCGGAATACACAACTCACTGTACTCATGGTTTGCTTCGTTTTTAACAGAATGTAAACAGAGGGTAAAGTACAATGACTGTTTCTCGTCCTCTAGACCAATCACCAGTGGAGTCATCCAGGGAAGCGTATTAGGCCCACTTTTGTTTCATATGTATATAAACGATATATGTAACACCATAGAATTCGAGAAACCATACTTATATGCTGATGATCTCAAAATAGTATACAGCTATAAGCCTGAGACACTAAGCGAAAGTGTATCCCAGATCCAAAAGGACCACAATAACTTAACTATCTGGAGTGAAAAGTGGCAATTACCATTTAACCTCAACAAGTGCGGGATCATGGACTTTGGAAAGCATCCCTATAAACCGCAACTTCACTTAAATAAGAGTCCAAACACTCGAATCAGTACACGGTTTAGGAATTAATTACACAGGAAGCCTGAACTTTGAAGAACATGCCTCCTCTATTATTTCTAAATCTAGACGGCTAATTGGTTTTACAATGAAAAACTTTTTCACAACAGAGGGTAAACTTACTCTCTACAAAATATGTGTACGACCCACCCTTAAATACTGCTCTTTTGTCTTCTCTAATATGAATATCACAGAGTAGAAGATGTTCAAAGACGTTTCACACGTCAACTACTAAGATGTAACTCGAATCTCGATTACACAGATAGATGTAAGCATCTATCTTTAGAACCTTTATGGAACCGTAGGCTAAAGAACAATTTAATATTTCTCTACAAAGCGATATATGGGCTCTCCTTTCTAACCTCCTGCCCGACTATCACCCACGACCCAGCCTATAGACTTAGAAACAACGCATATACACTACTTACCGTAAAACACCAAAAACAAATGCGTTGTAAGTTTTTTACAGTACGGTATAGTGTATTGTGGAACAGGCTGCCAATGCCTACCCTTAACTGTGATACGTTTACCAGATTCAAAAAGCTAATAACCCTATTTCTAGACTCTAAAGAGCTTCAACATTTCCTTGAACTCCCGCCCACCAATGAGGCACTTTACTACGGACCGCCTAGTATCTAGACAGAACAAGAATATAACGATCCCGACTGTTATTAATGTGAATATAACGAAATCACAGAATATATAAACGTGTCCTTTCCTATTATTCATTGCTTATTATTCATGGCCTTATGCTCCTAGCCCTCACTTTCAGTTCCCAAATCTCTCTACAGGTTAAATGAACATTATTCTTCCTAGAGGTCATGCTTTTTTTTCTATTGCAAGTAGACAGATAACTCACTAATCTTATGGACGCTGATCTACTAAGACCGATCATACAAAGCTCAAAACCTGGCCAAAAGGTCTTGAGTTTCTCAATGTTTTATTTTTCTTACCCTAAAATCTTTTTTCTTTTCTACAATTTTATACCCTCTCATATCTTTTGATTTGCTATTAGTCCTTACTTCTCTAAACCATCGGTTATCTTCATAGCAGTGTGATATACTATGTGGACATCTAACCAATAAAACAAACATTTTAACTATCTGATTTGCTTGTAACATGGACCTTGTGAAGGCTCTTTACTCGAACACTACTAGTCGAGTCAGAGCTTATGGCGAACTATCATCTACTTTTGCAACCTCAAGTGGTGTCCGTCAAGGCTGTCCACTTTCCCCATTCTTGTTTAACTTCATCATAGATCTACTGATGGGAATAACTTTCTCGTCGACTGAGTTCTCGGGTATTGATGTCTTTCCAGGAGGTCCACTTATCGACTTAGAATACGCAGATGACATAGTCCTGTTTGGTGAAGACACTGACAAAATGCAGTCTTCTGGTAGCACTGCGAAACAATGCCAGGATGTTTGGAATGCGCTTCTCCCCCTCTAAATGCAAGTTGTTGCTTCAGGACTGGTCTGCATTAACACCTTAACTAAGGATATGGAATGAAGTAGTCAAACGCGTTGGCAATTTCACTTATCTTGGAAGTCTGATCAGCCCTAATGGGTTGGTATCTGACGAAATCTCAGCACGGATTCTAAAAGCTCGATTGGCTTTTGCCAACTTGCGGCTCCTTATGGTTTAGTGGGATGTCACGAACTTATGGTATTGATGCTGATTTATCACGCAAAATACCTCTTTAAGTCGTGTTACGAACGTTGAATTGGTTTTACTCCCTACCCAGAAATCCTATTACAAGCAAACTAGACAATTCGCGAATATACGAAGCCTACTCAAGACCCTATAATACCTGAAAAAAAGTAATAATACAAAAAACGAAAGGGGCTCCAATAGCTTCGATAATAAAAGGAAGATAGCCAATTGTATATCACAATACTGTTTCTAGCACTATATTTTATTTTATAACCACACATAATCCCATACTCTCAGCTCCTTTCCGAATCACCTCCATTTGTCAGTTGTATGTCCACTCACACATTGTTAACACTTATTTTCTTTTTCCTATTAAAGTGCTCTTTCTTAACAAATACCTTAATAAAAGAAAATTAGACTGAGTAATCATACCTTAAACATTTCTTCATGAATATTGGCTACTCTGCCCCTCGTGTTTTCTTTTACTTGTTCCCTCTTTCAGCCCCCTTGTGATATGGAACGAAAGATTTTATCCTGCACCATCCTCAAAGCCTTAGACATTCCAAAGGGGCATAAGGTTGCGACATTTAAGGCTCCCACCTTCAATGGACCTCACCAGTGTTGTAATTAAAATACTGGAAAGGATAATCAAACGGACCATAACGGCATTTATGGAAACCAATAACTTGCTGAACATGGCACAACATGGTTTTAGAAAGGATCTATCCTGTACAACGAACCTCCTTATAGCTAGGGAGCTCTGGATTAATGCGCTAGACAACGGAAACTCAGTGGATGTTGTCTACATAGACTTCAGTAAGGCTTTTGACAAGGTGCCAACTAATAGACTGCTATTGAAGTTGGCGAACCTTGGTATTGCCGGACCTCTTTTAAAATGGATTAAGGATTTCCTAGTAGGTCGTAGGCAAAAAGTAAGAATGAATTCCAAGTGCTCCATCTGGAGACCAGTACTTAGTGGAGTACCCCAAGGTTCCGTCCTAGGTCCTTTACTTTTTATAATGTACGTTAATGATCTTACAAGTATAGTACAGTCTCCAATGTTATTATACGCTGACGATGTAAAAATTTGGCGAGTAATAACTGGTGACACAGACGCATTTACTCTTCAGGCGGACTTAAATAATATGATAAACCGGTCTAAAGAGTGGCTAATGCCTATCAACTCGGAAAAGTGTGTCTACATGCACTTGGGGGATTCAAAGGTTAATACGTACAACATAGGGGATGTGTCATTACTCATAGTCCGGTCTCATAAGGACCTAGGGGTGACAGTGAGCAATGATCTTAAGACGACGACCCATTGCCGGGAGGTCGCAGTTAAGGGGTTTCGAACCCTCTGGGCTTTAAAAAGGACATTCACTAAGCTTGATACTACCATGTTCACCACATTATACACATCCTTAGTGAGAACTAAGTTAGAGAACTGTGTTCAGGCTGCAAGCCCCTGTTTAAAAGGTGACTCAGACATACTAGAAAAGGTACAGAGGGCAGCTACGCGTGCAATTCCGGAACTCCGGGGTTTATCATATAAAGAGCGGCTTGAAAAACTGAACCTCTTTACTCTGTCCTATCGCAGACTAAGGGGAGATCTAATATTGATGTACAGAATACTGAGAAATGATTTCGGACCTAACGTATTCTCTCTCTTTCTTCCCACTAGATCGGGACACCTCAGAGGACATAGCAGGCGAGTAGAAAAGCCAAGAACGAACAAAATACCCCTGGCATACAGGTTTTCACACCGAGTCATCAATACTTGGAACCTGCTGCCTGAAGCAGTGGTATCCGCACCTTCAATTGACTCTTTCAAGAGAAGACTGGACACTCACAGAAGCATACTAGAAAAGGAATAACATAGGCCGTAGGCCTTCTGTCCTTACTACACAAATCTGAATCTGAATCTGAATCCTTGACCATCAGTTGCACATTCGCAACGCAACTTTCGTGAAGCGCGCTAAATGTGGTGCTGATTAAAACCATTCTACTTTCATATCTTATAAATTATCAACCCAGTTATGTAATTTACTACAGTGCATATTGTGTCATTTGTATCAATTTGATCTTGTCTGTAAACTGGCATGCCTCATGCAACAAACTGTTATTTGAGAATAAATTATTATTATTATATCTTCCAATCTCCTTGATTCTGTCTTTTGATTTCTCTTGGTGGGTGCGAATTATATTAGGTGTTACTGGTTAAAGCGTTGTCAAACACTGAATAACTGTGACATCTTCAAGGTAGAAAACTTTGATACTAGATTTGCGGTTCAGGAAGCCATTCCCCTGGGTTTCCACTGTAGCCGATTCAGATCTGGCAATAATGGGGATGTATTATTATTATTATTATTCACAAACATCTTATGGGTACATAGGTGTTGTGAAGAAACCATTTCGGGTTTCTTCAAAAAATGCAATAATACACAATTTTCAATAATGTCAGCATTATACTGACCATTTAAAAAAAAATTTAGAGCAATAATAGTAGAATAATAATAATAAATCGGGTCTGTACAATTGAGAAGAATATTGAATTGAGTTTAAAGAAGGAAATGGAGGAAATAAGGGAATAGAAATAAAGGAGACGTGAAATAGGCAAAAAGTCTAATAGGCGTGTTTAAGAACGCAGAACAAGAATAAACGACTATGTGTTTATCGTTAAATTAGTAACAAAAATAATTAAGAAAAAATAACTTATAATTGCAGTAAGATATGACGCTAGAATAAATGTTTGTGCAGTTATAGTTTAGAGTGATGCGATGAAAGTCTCAATTGAGTGAAAAGGATAATAAAATATCAATATGTATGAGACATATATGCATAGTGAAGATAAAACGGGTCTGAGAATTTAATTTAAGTGTAATACAAGTTATTGTTTTAATTACAAACTTCGTAATCTTAAGAATAGAGAGAAAAAAAAACACTTAGTGAAAAGTTTTGATCCATGATAAGAATAATAATTGTGTAATGAATATCAACCTCACAAGGAAACCAGCCATCGGAAAAATAAAATAAAAATCCGTTAAATCACTCGGATGAATACATTTAGATTTATGTAATAGTATACAGAGTGCAATAATAATTAAGATTGATGCTATGAAAGTCAAAATTGATTTCAATGGACAATCTGGAGTTAAATATGTTTAGAAGGATAAGGAGATATAAAAAAAATATCTGGAGAGATACGAATTTCTAGTTGACACTAAGAAACGACGCTTAACACTGAAAGAAACCCTGAATTGCACAAAAGGCAAAGAAAGTCACATCACATCTCTTAACTTGAGTTAAACTCCTCTAGTAAAAACAGCGAAATTCCATGATATACTGGCGGGATTTCCAAACTTATCTGGCCCAAACCCACAGCCTTCCAAAGACAAAATAAAAGTGAGTCATACTATCAAAACCGAAGGTGCGCCTGTGTTTGCAAAACCCAGGAGACTAGCACCAGATAAGCTCAAAATTGCTAGAGCCGAATTTGACTATATGCTACAACTGGGTATTGTCCGTACCTCTGATGGTCAATGGGCATCCCCTTTGCATATGGTCCCAAAGAAAAATGAAGGTGACTGGCGACCGTGCGGGGATTACAGAGCCCTAAACCGTCAAACCGTACCTGATAGGTACCCAATACCTCATATCCAAGATTTCACCAACGGTTTACAGGGTATGAACATATTCACTAAAATTGACTTAGTCAGGGCATATCACAATATCCCGGTGGCTGATGAAGATATTCCCAAGACAGCTATTACTACACCCTTTGGCTTATTCGAGTTTGTACGCATGCCATTCGGCCTGAGAAATGCGGCACAGACATTTCAAAGATTCATAGATAACCTACTTCGAGATATGCCATTTGCGCAGGGGTATATAGACGACTTGTTAATTGCCAGCCCCGATTTGCAATCACACGAACAGCATGTACAAACAGTGTTGAAAAGACTGGATGAACATGGAATAAACATACATCAAAGTAAGTGTGTTTTCGGTGTTCAAACTTTAGAATTTCTCGGTCACACAATAAGCCCAGAAAGGATTAAACCTATAAAAAAAGAAGTAGATACTATCAAACAATACCCCGTACCTAGTTCTCTAACACAACTGAGAAGTTTTCTAGGCCTAATTAACTTCTATCGCAGATTCATGCCAGGTTGTGCACAATTAATGCAACCTTTGACAGATTCACTTAAAGGCAAACCAAAAGAATTCAAACTGTCTTCTGACGCCATCGAAGCTATTAAACAGCTTAAAGATAAACTGGCTGAAGCAACTACGTTGATATATCCGAATTCTCTTTCCCCACTTGCTTTGATGGTGGATGCTTCAGATAAAGCAGTAGGCGGTACCCTTAACCAACTGGTTAAAAACGCCTGGAAACCAATTGCTTTTTTCTCGAAAAGACTCGCTCCAGCCGAAACAAGGTATTCTACCTTCGGGCGAGAACTTCTTGCAATCTACCTGACCATTAAACACTTCCGACACATGTTAGAAGGTAGGGAATTTATAGTCTTTACGGATCATAAACCACTGACGAATGCATTAAAAGCGAGAGCCGATAAATACTCACCTCGAGAAGTCCGACACCTTGACTATATATCACAGTTCACAAGCGATATCCGACATGTCAAAGGTCATGACAATCAGGCGGCAGATGCTTTATCCAGACTAGAAATGTACGTGCTACAGCAGTCTACAGTAAACTTCGAGACGTTAAGACACGAACAAGAGCAGGACCTAGAATTGCAAAACCTACTTAAAACAAACAATTCAAGTCTTAATTTAAAACAATTCCCATCACCTATTGATGGTATTCTAATTTATTGTGACACGACCAAGGCAATGCCGCGACCTTTCGTTCCCAAAAATATGCGAAAGTTGATATATAATAACTTTCATTCTTTGTCTCATCCTGGCGCGAAAGCTTCAACAAAACTAATCAATGCCAGATATATATGGCCGAATTTACAGAAGGATGTACACAAATGGGTTAGAGAGTGTTCAGCATGTCAACAATCAAAGATTAATCGTCACACAAATTCACCCATAGGTGTTTTCTCGCAACCAGATGCACGTTTTGCCCATGTGCATATCGACTTGGTAGGTCCTTTACCACGTTCAAACGGTTTTAATTATCTTTTTACATGCATAGATCGATTTACCAGATTCCCTATAGCCATTCCGACAGCGGACATCACAGCGGAAACAGTAGCCAATGTTTTTATGCAGAACTGAGTAACCATTTTTGGTACACCCATAACAATAACGATGGATAGAAGAGCGCATTTTGAATTCCAGCTATTTAATACCTTAGCTAAACGTTCTTACGGAAGTCGATTCTAGGGGAAAGCTAGTGTAACGGCTTAGGTTGATTGGTTAAGAGTTGACCTCAAGCAACTAAGCATATGTTAAAACAGAATAGTTCAAGTATTCGTTCACTTCCTTATTTTGCATAGGTGTTATATTTCCTGCTATCTTATACTGAATGTTGAGTAGCTTTGTTTTTCTGAACAGGTAGTCACACGCTCCACTGCGACTGCGCGAAGATCTGAATAAAGACCTATTCACTACTTGGCTGGTTTCTTCTATCAATAGCACGAGGGTTCCCTACAGGCACGAAAAACTCATATCGAAGCCTTCAATTTTATGAATGAAGAAATGCCAAGAGTGCAACTGATAAAATATTACCAACTGTTAAACGAACGTGGAGTTGAGTAAAACGTTAAGTCATGAAGATATTGTTTCTATAGGCTCGGAAGAATTCAATAAGGGAAGCAACAACTTAGAAGGTGCTCACTGGTAACGAACTGTGTGACATATGACATCTTGCTCAACCACAAAGTGGAACAGTCGAATGAAGAACGTGGATTGTTTGTCGCTCCAATGCTATGTTTCATTCTTTTTATTGTTTGGACCCACGGCTGCAATTTCATGGTTCCATTGTCCCATATGTGGCGCGACTACGAAGTTTAATGAGAGACACGGCCGTATTAAAACTTGGTATTACAGATAAGACCGTACATTCATATCTCAGTTACTAACTGAAAATCTAATATTTTTTCCATCTTTTATGAAGAGGCTGTTGCTGCTATACGTAGATGGGGAGATGAAACATTCTAAGATAAATGACTGTGCTGTTATAACCAAGAGACCGATAGAAGGCGCTTAACAAGGCCACTCATAGTCTGACGTCAATTTTTACTTCTTAATTCGTTACAAATCGCATCAATAAATTACTATCACTCGCACTTCACATATGCTCTCTGTATTTTCGCACACAGTTCAGCCATCATTACGTTTAACGTTAATTATTCATAAACCGATTTTACTGCTCATCTGTTAAATTTCATATTTTTGGGAAACCAAGCAGAGACCATCCTTATATATATTCGAAAAATATCGTTAGGCAAAATTCCATTTTTATGAGGAACCGATTACACTGTACTAATGTTATATTTAACAATAATAAATGGTGACAGTTGTATGACCAGTAGTTTTGGCTATACTAAATGTTACTGGCTCAAAATAACGAAAATGTAGACAAATACTTAGCGAAGTTATCAGTCTTTTTGTGCATGTAATACATATTATCTGGACATGATTTTCGGTACCTATGCATAATATACGTTTCATAGAAGGTGGAAAACAACTACACAGTCATCAAATAGTACCCGTTTTGCGAGTCGTATACATGAACATGTGGATTGTGCACTAAGCTATATATCCTTCACGCATGAAAACATAAGAATACATTCATCTGTACAATAACAAAACCTTTATTATCTGCTCTTAGGCTAAATTGTAATAGTGTTCATCGATAAGCAATATCTGTTGTGGTTAGAACTCCGAGGAGCATGACGAAGCTCCCAGAGGCTCCAAAACAGTCTAAGAGATCCCACCCAATTAGAAATATTTTATTAAGTAATACAATG